CTGTTGTTTAAAAACATGCCGATTGTTCAGAGGAAAAAACATCATCCAAAAAAAAAAAAAAACTCTAGAAAACCAATTTGAAAGTTTATGATTTTTAAAACATACATGTTATCATATGATCTAGGACCTTTATATAGTTGTAACAACTGTAAGTCTGTTCCTTACAGCCTCATTTTCAACCGTGTAAAAGTCATTATGGCTCCTACCCTGACTGAGGTCAATTAATGCTTTCATAATCTTCTCAATAACTGCACTGCTGTGCTGACAGCAGGTTATTCTGCATACCTTCACCAAACCACATTATTTGGGATACACTAAATAATAAACTAATATATAAATATATATATACAAACATGTATACAAAAAAAATCTGTCTCGTTTCTTGAATGTATTATATTCACATTTAGCCTAAATGTCTACCTCAACTACTATAACTACGCTACAAAAATCTAAAAATAGAAATAAAAACATGAAACCATGAACTGAATCTGGAAAGTTAAAGTGTGGTCACATTAGTGAAATTTTGCAGGCAAAAAAATTTGATTCATTGTCTATTATCAATGGTATAGCAATGTATGAAACACAGCTCACACAGAAGTCACCTTCAAACCAAGCAGTTTTCTGTAGGCCATCGCAACAAATTTATGTGACCAACTTGAACCCGATCTGAAATCCACGTAGAGAAATCCTTTGCCTGCATGTGAAAATTGTAATGAATGGATTCTGTCAGCAACAACTCGCAGAACAACAGTAAATGTGGCCACACCTTTAATCAGCTATGAAATATTATGAAACAGGATATAAATAAAAACGTCAATAGTTCATACAGTTAGCTATAGTTATTGCTATTAATATGTAATTAAGCGTTTTAGTTGTCTTTTATGCAGAATATTCTAAAAGTGTCAGATAAACAGGCCTAATGCAAAAAATAAACTGTCATGCTTACCTTAGCAAACAAACAACACTAATTATCATTATTTATTTATGAGCTTAGGTAAAGAGCAAATGTGACACTCATAAAGACACAATTCTGCTACATAATAGGGGAACATTATGCTTTAGTTAAGCAACAGCTTTGTCATGTCAAAGCACCGGTAATCCACCCAATATCCCACTTTAATGGTCCTGATAAATCTGTAAGCTTCACCATGAGGTCAGGTTTCATTGTATCTTGATCTTCCACGCATGTAACAAAAAAAAAGAGACTACTCTCTGCCCATAATGCTCTGTGATTTATTGATATTTCTTGTCTCTTTTATTACATTTTTATTTAATAATCCAAACTGTCAGTTGGTTGGAGTGTTTGAGTGAGGAGAAGAGTTTGATTTTGGTGTCTGGTCTCTTGGCTATGGTGGGGCCCTCACCACGAGACCCTCAGGGATTCTTGAACACAGCAAGGCTAAATAAATAAATAAAAATGGAGCAGGCAATAAAAATGCATTAATTTAAATCCCTACGACTTCATGGAAGTGGAGTCGGTGGGGCTGACGACCAGTGATTTGTGTAAGCGATGATATCACGCTGGAGTGGGAGTCTGGAGCTGTGCTGGGGGGCTTGAGCAAGGTGATGTGAGATGTGGCTGACATTCTGCCTGGCTTCACAGTCCTCCTACAGGCTCAGTTTCAGCATTTCACACCCGGGCTGAAGACCCGCGGCGCATGTCAGCATAAACAGCATGAGTAACTATGGCATCTGCATCTGGCCTGCATTAGGGCCGTGAGTCTGGGGGTCTGGTGGCTGCAGTAATGTATTAACTGTGTTTGTGTGCATCTAACACATGAACGAAAACTGAAAGGCCACGCTAGCCTCATTTGGGTGAGCCGCAACAACTCCCAATATTGTGTGAGTTATGCGTTTTTCTTGTAATCAAATTTAAAAATGGGCTCAGTAATAAAGGTACAGAGCAATATGATGATGTTTTTCATGTCTCATGCAGTCTTGTGTTACAAATATTTTATTATATTATTATAAAAAAGTAATATTAGTATTATTAATTTTTTTGTATTCTTCCTAATATTATTACTATTTATTTCATTTGTCTACTGTCAAACACACACAAAATAAACTCTCACAAAGGTACACAAAGTAACTAATGTGCCCATTTCTGTGATCGTGTAAATTTGAATGAAATTAAAATAAACATTTTCCAAAAAAAAAAAAAAATTGGAATTGGCTTTGTGCTACATTTTTTTTAATTTTGTGCTTTATTAATTGCATACTAGTTAGACAATTAAAGTTATCTAAAACCCTATTAATTTATGAAAATTATTGGATATTTATCTAGAAGTTTATATGGTAGCTTTCAAAACCTCCTATTATCTTAAGGTTATTTACATTGTAACAAAAATGCATATATATACTGTATATATATATATATATATATATATATATATATATATATATATTACATATAATATATATTACATTTTAAGAATATACTGTTCTTTTGAACTTTCGGTTTCCACAAAAATATTAAACAGCACGACTGTTTGTAACATTAATAATAATACAAAATGTTTGAGCAACAAATCAGCATATTAGAATGATTTCTGAAGGATCATGTAACACGGAAGACTGGAGTAATGATGCTGAAAATTCAGCTTTGCCATCAAAAGAATAAATTGTATTAATCTGATATTAATAATAATATTTCATAATAATACTCTTTTTATTGCATTTTTGACCAAATAAATGCAGCCTTGGTGAGCATAAAGACGTATTTATAAAATACCCCGAATTGTAAATGGTAGTGTAATTCAAACTATAAGACATCTCTGGGGGGGGAATGGCATTAAATAGTTAATCACTCAAAGTGATAACGGGCTGAACACTTTTATTTGTTGCTTAGTGCTATCAGTACCTCAGCAGCTCCTCTGTGAACAGTGTTGGGTTGATTACGCTCAGCCACTTTGTTTCATGACTGTTCACTCCCTCTGGAAACTTTGGAGTTCTGTTGCTTCCTCCACCGCAGCCTCCCTGAAAAACCCTGGAGAATAAAATAAATATATACAGTAGAAAGGGGAATACAGTTTGATCAATGTGCTAATCTTGCATCTCTAAGTCACAATAATCCAACAAGTTTATTCAGACTCGTGTCACCTGTGCAGCTCTGCTGGAGGTGATGTAAGGATGATCAGTACAGTCAGCAGCTGGTTACACAGGCTGTGTATGGACCACATCCAAGATCCATGAGCTGCATCAGGCCTTAGCAACTCCTCCACAGAGTCACACACACTCCACATCAGATGCTCCACGCACAGCAGAATAGCTGTAATATCAACCCTGGGGAAGAAAATAAGACACCACATATTAGGAATAACTCAGCTGCACACACTGTGTCCTAACCAAGATTTTCTAGCAAAAATCAAGTCTCAATGTAAAATAAAGTTGTTTATGCATTTTTAATAAGTACTTTATTCCTGTAATGGCAAAGCTGAATTTTTAGCTGCCATTACTCCAGTCTTCAGAAATCATTCTAATATGCTGATCTGGTATTAAAAAAAAAAATCGTATTATTATTATCAATGTTAAAAACGGTTGTGGCTGCTTAATATGTTTGCGGAACAGTTTGAACAGTAATGCAAATGTAAAAAAATAGGGAAAATCAGCATGAACAATAACATATCCAATATCCTGCTCAGTTCAAACCACTGAATCATGTACTTCTGTACAGTCTCCAGAGAGGTCATATTACCCACTTTGGTTTCCCTATCAAATTCAACTTTTCATCACCCACCACCATGTTCTGCTTTATAGCATAGTGAAAGTTCCCCTTTCACCAGATAGAAGAAAAAGAGAAGGGAGCAGAGGAAAAGCCCATCTGCCTGGCAGACTCTGAGCTCACCCGGCACTGAAGAGCTCATAACCGGGTGTCCTTGCAGAAAAGCTCATCTGCTGAAACAAAAAAACTCCCTGTGGCCTTGGGCAATCTGCTCTTTCTCATCAGTCCTGAAGTGGAGGGGAAGCGTGCTCTTGTGGCATCTTTAACCACTTTAAGTATGTGTTAATACAACGCACAAGGCCTGGGCGGTTGGGCCCGGTCTAGCATGAAAGAATCAGGCCCTCCGCCAGGCACTGAGGCAGGGCCATGTGCTAACAAAGAGAGACTGTTCTACAAATCTGGAGATCTGCATTGTCCCTCGGGGCCGAACACTGGCATAATCACTAAAGCATTCAACACTGTCTGCTAAGCCTGAGGTTCCTGAAGGTGGGCTTGTGCTTCTCAGTGCAGCAGAAATACGGTAAGATCCTTCAATCAGACAGCATGGATGACTGCTCTCTGTTAGAATGTGCTTGAGTGTGACCGCTGACCACAAGATGTAGACGGGTGACTTTAACCATGCATGGCCATTTCCTGTATGACGCATCTCCACAATGTAGCAATCGAATGCACATGAATGCTACATGCTACACTAAATGGTACATGAGTAATAGAGCAGTTCAAGTTGTTGGCTACAGCCAGACTCTTACAAAATCCAGAAGGTTCAAAAACTCGTTTATACTTCTTTAGGGTTGGGAATTGTGAGCCGGCTGTTATGTAGAACCATCCCTATTTAGTCAAAATTGTGGAAATGAATGATTTTCATGACATTCAGTTTCATTATCGATATTATATAATAGGAAATGGTGTTTTATCATTAAAATTGCAATGGAGAAAGAAAGAAAGAAAGAAACGCACGGTTGGTATTGTTAACAGTAGCAAAAAAGAATAAAATAATAATAATAAAAAATCATATTTATAATATTACACACACACACACACATGTACATATAAGAACAAAACAAACTGATCCTGTATATTAAATTAAATCATACAATAAGTACGATTAGGAAATTGCATTGTATTAATATAATGGTGGTGAGAAAAAAAATGTAACGCATACAAATGCACACACACACACAGAAGCAGCAAAAAAATTCTGTCTATGGAAGGGAATGGAATTGTGAATGGAATCATCAAGGAACTCTATTGTTTCCTATTCCCAGCTCACACAATTTAAAAAGTAACAACAGCTCTAATGTAAAAATGTGGCAGGTCTTCATATCTGGTACCTGATCTGGGAGAGTCTTTTGTAGGAGGGTTGCGCTCTTGAGTACCTCTGAACTAAGACCTCAAGGGTCTCACACAGCACCTGGGCCAAGGTCTGCCGGGCTTGTGCGAGGGCAACGGAGCCACAAAGGTCACTCCGCAGGCCTGTGAGAAAATACTGCCACATCTGGATGGAGAAAGAACACTTTTCACCCTGAAAAAAAGGTGGAGGAGACAAAAAAATTTACAATGAGAGACTGGTAGAGATATGATGATGATGATATCATGACAAATAAATACCAAAAAGAATAGAAAGGAAAAGACAGAATGTCTTTCCAGACAATCTTTCTCTAGACCACCTGCACGCTGCACCTGGACCCCTCATTACCACAGAGAGAGAGAGAGAGAGAGAGAGAGAGAGAGAATGCATGGATACTTTGAAGTTTTATCTAGATATTCAATCACTGCTCCTCTGAACATTACCCAGACATACATGCACACTGAGTCAAGATGGCAGAGGCAAAAATGACCGGGTCATTCCTGTTATGCAGTACATTTCAAATCTTAGCACGTGGGACTTAACATGTTGGATGAAATATCATAACTTTAACTCATGATTTTAAAATAGAAATCACAATGTGTCATTTTTTTTCTACTGCACAATATGACAATTAGGTGAGCACAGGAGTGAGTTTTTAAATCATCTCATTACTCAAGTTTAGGCAGATGTTGCTATTTTTATCAGCAACATAGCATATCTATCTTTTAACATGAACGACTGTAAATGTATTAAGAAATACTCCAGATGTTTCTGCAATTTTTCTTTACTCTGTTCACAAAAGATTATACAAAAGTTCTTTGAAATATTGTTTTAATCAGATTTTATAGGCTTTTCCTGTGTCCTAAATTTCACTTTCCATCCTGTTAGTCTTTTGCAATATCCCTTTAAATAACAAAAGCCAGTTGACATCATCCTCCAGGAAGTGCTATAATATTTGGCCGGTGAAAAACAGCATTAACATGAATAAGTCTAAACAACAGATTTAATGAATTATGTGATGTTTTGTGGTATTAGCTGTTTTTTTCACTTTAAAACAGAGGTTTTCAAACTTGTTGATGATTCCAAATGAATACTGTACAAGAGAAAATGTATTCTTCTATGCATTTATATACTAATTTGTAATTCAATTTGGGTAAATTTATATACATTTATGTATTTTAAAAACACCATGAAAGAGTAACGGTATCAAATTCAGTAAATGTGTTAAATATTATTACTACACGTTAAACATATTTAATAAATATCTTAAGGTAACGTTTTACATTTTACATTTTCCAGCAACTTCCTAAGGCTCCTTGGGCCAAAAGAAACTTTGCTCTAAAAAAAAAAATCTGTATAATGTTAAAAAATATAGAAAATTAACTAACAAATTTAACTAGAAAATTAACAAATTTATTTCTGTAACATTTCTGTAAACTAACTTTGAGGGAAAGCAACAACAAACCTTAGGTTCCATCCTGTTAACGCCAATCCTGTTAGCCACAATGAACAAACATTAATTGTGCAAATGATCAAGTTTAAATTAAAAATAGGTTTTAATGAAAATTTAAGTGTATTGTAAATTATTTCAGCACTTAAATTATGACAATATTCTTTTTTTTTTTTTTAAGTTACAGAGAACAAAGCTAGTGCATAACAGGAGTAAGATGACCGATCTAAAGGGTCAGACTTATGTTGCTGAAATGCTTTAGAATTTGTGATACTGTACATGTTAAACAGCTCAAACGGAGAATCAAGAACTAGAAACACAATTCAGAAAATGCAGAAACGATAAAAAGGACGAGAAACTCTGGTTTCCTAAGAGGCTAATTACTTTCAGGCAAAGAGGAAGCAGCATTAGGAGTTCACAGTGTGACCAAAGAGAGATTATTAACAACCATGTACTACATCTCCTAATGAGAGCTGGGACGTGGTCCACCAGTGAGCCACGGGTAAGTCAGCCATAGAAAGAGACACACAGGGCCATGACCACACGTCCGGACCCAGGGATTTAGTGCTAGGGACGGGCCTCTGGAAGCGCTCGGCCCTGTGGCATTTGCTCAGGAGGAAATTAAATGGAGGGATGAATGAAAGAAAGCAAAAGAGAGGTGGGGGAAGAGGGGATACAGGTCAACAGAGGCACAGACTCAGAGAGCCAGCTGCACACCTGCGCACAGCAGGCCAGTCTGCCCCACAGCCCTGCAACAGGCAGACATGTGTGTATTCATCTGTGAGAGCACTTATGTGTGCGCCGATATCTTAATGGAGGTAAGGTTAGGGCTAGACACAGATGGTTGAGTCTAACGCTACCTCAGGGCACTGCAAGCCCCATTGAAAAGACTTGAGGAAGGGACTTTATGAGAATGATATAGCTAGAAACTCATTATTCGTTTGTTAAGTGGTGACGTAAGAAGCGCTGTTTCCGGGTCCAAGCCACAACTCGCTTCCCTTGAGAATATTACCTCAGCAGCCGTTTATGAGCACTGTTTATTCATATTAAACATTTAAGCGAAACGTTTTCAAACTTACAGTCTACACTACAGTCTCCATGCTCACAGTGACCACAAATAATTTTTATATTTATTTATTTATATTTATATTTTCATTGTCTGGCCATCTGGGATTTCATTATAGAGTTAAAGGTTAGGATTATAATTTTTTTTGGTAGTATTATATCACGTTGTGAGTGTATATTAGCACCTTTTGTTGTTTTCTCGTGGTATCTGATAGAGCGTTTGGACACGGAAGCGGTGACACGTGCCGTCAGACGTAACAAGCGGATAGCAATATACCTAGAAGGTTATTTTTCATATTAATATCCCTACGAAATTTTATATAACTATCAATACTCATTATTCAGTCTGAAACGCTTAAAGGTTTGATTTGAATTTTAATTAACAATTTTTATTTATTTATTTTATCAACAATTGCAGCCAAAGGAAATTCTTACAGAATAAATAATTAATCTAGATAAAAATAACCAAGGAATACTTTTCAAACTGTTTTTCACTAAATGAACGAAATTTCTTATTATTTTTGACCATTTCTATAAATTTACACAAATGTATCAATTATCCACTATTTGCCTACATATTGTTTTATATTTAAAACACCTCAATAATAAAATGTAATTAAAATCTTTATTTGATTAAAATTAATTTAAATCATTTTTGGATGATGATGTAAACTAACTGAAAACTTTGATTGAATATGTTGATTTAAATGAACAGTTTAAATGTATTAAAAGCAATTAATAACTCCATATCCAATCTAATGAAAAATGACGTTTTAAATAACTTTCCCAAATAATCCTCCATCTTCCATTGGTCATCAAAACAGATAGACCTGCAACCAAAACGAAACAAAAACAAAACAAGACACATTTAAAAGCATTCCAACATTCACAATGCTTAAAAAAAAACAACAACAACATCATAAATATAGTCAATATTCCCATATAGTGAATAGTGCCCAGCCCTAATGAATACTAACAAATAAAAAAGGAAAGAAAGACAAGAGGGTTTTACACAAACACGGTCAGGTTGGCTGAGACTGGGATATTTGTGATTGGTTACAAATGTGCACAACATCCTCAGTCATTTTAAATAAGTAAGATGTTTTTAATGCGATCATAAAAAAATGCTCTTCAGTATGGCAACACTAAGGCTGGATGTACACACCTGACTCCTTTTATGACAGCCTGAGAGAAATCAACTAAATAGTCAAGGACAACGCGCAATAGCAGCACGCAAATCCAAGAATTTAAGAGGGAGCCTACTTAAGAATACAATAACACAATTTATCATTTATTAACCAATGTCATAGCATTTCAGTACAGATACACTTATGATCAGAATGTGAATATGCAGTGTGATTTAACCACAGCTTTGTCCTTGAGCACAGTTTAGAGGTACAGGATGTTTTGTCTTCCAATAACCTAACCCAACCCTACAAAAATGTCTTCAACAGGCTTACACGTAACATGAACTATTATTGAAATATTGCCAGAACAGCTACAGCCATCTGTACCTCGTAAAATGGGTTGGGGTCAATCCAGTAGTGGCTCTCGGCATACTGTAGTATACTAGTGGCACACACATGGACGCACTAGATGGTCAGGTGATTGTGCAGGGCTGCCATCACATCCTGGCTTCTCTGAATGGGCAGCAGAGTTAGAGGCCTGGGGTTGGAGACATCAAAGACACAAAGCCTGGTTTAAGGCAAAAGTGGTGTAGTTTACAGGTCAAATAGCCACTAAGTGATTAATATCAGCAAATGGCTCCTATTATTACCTGTCAATCATTCAACACCTCATTCTTCCTCGCCTAATATTTTCTCACTCCCTCTCTTCAAGTACAAGGCCACACATACGGTCTGATACCCCTTTCTGTATGTCTTTCTGTCACTCATTCTTGGCTATAACCTTATAAATACATAAGTGAAAAGTTATGTCAGAGCCCACCAGCTCACATACGTCTCACTCCGGTTCTTTACAATCCAATTACAGCATTTTAGTAAATCTGGCATCCATCTGACAGGCTGCCTGGCCGGGGAAACCTGGTCTTGACAAAGTGTACTATAAATCGGTGAACTTTAGCAATGCTCACCCTCTCCAAACACTTTTCATTTTGTGAAAAATGCACAGGTCAAACCCAAGCAGAGATTTTTTTATATACCATTTTATATTAAAAAAAAATTTCATCCAAGGAGAGATTTGGAGTTATTTATGAAATCAGGCGTACCACAGCATAGAGGATTAGACTTCATTATCATTCCTAACACCACATCCACGACAGAAAAAAAAGGTGGAAATAAGGTACAGCTTTTGAATTATTGATGAATGTACTTGGGCCACACATTAAGATCTTAATCAAGTGTTTACGCATTTGAAAATGCAAATACATGCAAATAAGAAATTGTATAACATAAAATGAAAAGGAAAACATAAGATTTCACATTAAGATTCTGGCTAATAGTTTTAAAAAAAAAATTTAAATTATTATTATTATTCTTTTTGTATGAATTATATTACAGTGTATTGAGCATAAACCACTCTAAATCAGGTTAGGTTTTTGTTTAAAAAATTAAGAAAGAAGAAAGAATATATTCAGAATATATTCAAAATAAAGTTTTGCTTCTGCTTCTTGCAGTAATTACAGGTTTTCAGTCAATTTGATCTTGTTTTACGGTCTCAGCTGTTGCTTTTTTATTGAAAAATAAAAAAAATGGTGCTTTATAGAATGAGTATAACTCACATGATTATAAATAATTATAATTAAATAATTAAAGGGGTCATAGGATGCTAACATGCACTTTTACAAGTAGTTTGAACTGAAATGTGTGTTGGCAGTGGGTACACAACCACCCTATAATGATAAAAATCCACCCACTTCTTGCAGTAATTACAGGTTTTCAGTCAATTTGATCTTGTTTTACGGTCTCAGCTGTTGCTTTTTTATTGAAAAATAAAAAAATGGTGCTTTATAGAATGAGTATAACTCACATGATTATAAAGAATTATAATTAAATAATTAAAGGGGTCATAGGATGCTAACATGCACTTTTACAAGTTGTTTGAACTGAAATGTGTGTTGGCAGTGTGTACACAACCACCCTATAATGATAAAAATCCACCCAGTGTTTTTTTTTTATCTACTAAAATCTTTACCCCTTTCTCAAATCGAGCCGATCTCAGATGCCTGTCTGTATGACGTCACAAAAACAGGCCCCTCCCACGATAGTTTGATTGACA